GTTGAAAATAGATGTCACCTCTCTCTTTAATTTATCTTTCATTTTCATTATTAACTTTAATTAATGTTATTGTGTAAATATAACAGACTGTTCTGCCTGAAATAACACTGGACCAGATTTCTTTTCATTATCCTAACACTCTCTTCAACTTTTGTTGTTGTCAATTTATCTATGTCCGGCATGTAATCTAAGCAGGAAACTTTTTCTTTCAATAAAACTCTATTCTTGGCTTTGAAATTATCATTAAAAATTTTTATCATGACATACCCACCATCAGCTCAGCAAAATACTTTCTTAGCCTTTTTAAAAAAAAAAAAAAAAAATCACTAATATATATATATATATATATATATATATATATATATATATATATATATATATTTTAAGACATTTTTTATGTTTATATGTTCTTTTTTTTATAGATACAAATATTTAAGTAAATGCTCTGTTTATAATAAACAGTATTAACGACATTTACCAGCCTGAATGTCTGAGAAATATGTATCCTCTGACAGGAATCGAACCTGTATCCTATATGGAACTGTCTTATAGCCTGATATGCTTTTACCGATTGAGTCACAGAGGAGCATTTCGGTTTATAATTTGATGTTACATTGAGAGTATAAAGTCTATACTGCTGCAATTAGAGATTACCAATAAATATATAGCTATTTCAAGTACTTTTTATTTTATCTTATATCTCAAATGGTTTATCTTGCACTCTGCTTAAAAAATAATTATAAATTCAAATCTTTGTTTCTCTTTCTAAACTTTTAAAATCTTGATCAGGGAAATGTTGATGAAATATAGGAAATTTTGCTTTTGTGGGGGAAGAAGTTGAGCTAAATTTTCATTTTTTAATTTTATTTTTGCAATGCATATTCAAACATCTATAAAATTGAAATAAAAAGAGAGAATTGTTAAAACTTAGGGAATGAATAATATTAATGCTAATATTACTCTCTGTAAAATTCTAAATGATTATTTGGATTCTTTGAGAAAAAAAAATCTATAAAGGTATCAAATTTCATTCATTTCTGGCCAGTGGATCAGAAGATTTAAGGGGTTTTGTGGGATTGTTGAGTTTGGAAATGTCCATTGATGGAAAATGCTGATTCACTTGGGAATTTTCACTTAAAATTTTCAGTATTTACTAATACCTATAAGATATATCGAAATGAAAAAAAAAAATCAATTCTTTTGGGTTACATTGACTTGTTGAATTGACATGGAATAACTTATAGGTCAATAAGGTGGTGGCATTTTGGAGACATAAACTTAATGTCCTTTCTTGATTCGAGGCGCCTACATGATGCTTGTTTCTATACTTGATCTACAGAGGTTCTTTGGATACCGGATTTTTTAATTAATGACCTTCCTGATGTCATCAGTTCTCACCTCGTTATCTATGCTGATGATACAACTATTTACTCCTGTCTTAATAGTAAGTTTGATTAATTCGATAAAGCCAAATTGGCAACTGAGCCAAAAAATGACTTGCAGTCTGTTGTTAACTGGGGTAAGGAATGGCGTGATAATTTTTATTAACCTCCAAAATGTAATTGCTCTTTATTAATCATCGGAGAGGACACTTTTCTTTTCTTTCCATCTGGAAGGCTGATGCTAACCTCCAGCAGAATGACTCATTTCACCTTCTTGAGCTAATGTTTTCTGCTGGCATGAAGTGGAAAGATTACATTGAATTAATTAATAGTTATGTTGGTAGCAAAATTGGTTTACTGTGTTGTTCTAGAAAATTTTTCTAACTAGAATCTATCTTTCTCATTCATAAGTCTATTTACATTGCTCAGACTATCATCCTTAAGGGCACATGGCACAGTGGACAAAGGTGTTAATTAGATCCAATGACAGGGCCCAAAAGAGTGTGAGTTTAATATCTGGTTAAGGGGGTGGAGAACTTGGAGAGGGAAATTAACAGGAGATAATTGATAACTGACATTCCTTAGACATGGCAGATGGAACTAGAACAGTCTACCCCAGTGAGTGAAATAAAGGGTTTAGTTTGACATTCCAACCACCTGAAGAAGGCAGGAGTGTACAACGACTGAAACATTGTGATAAATATGGCAACAAAGATGAGAATGATAGTCTGAGCAATGTAAATAGTGATCCTGAATCATCTGCAATGTTATTGGTCTATGCATCAGTCACTTTCACACTGTTGTAACGTAACTTCCCTGTGCCTTTTGATAAATATTTTCATGCTCATTGTTCTGATGAACCTTCCTCTATGGTACCTAGCCTTTATAAATTGAAGTGCAGTACTAGATTGGCAGTAAGGTCTCATCATTCTACAGTTGAAATGACTAGATGTAACCATAATTTCTATGCTAATAGTTTCTCCTATTGCACTTTTCACTTGTGAAACTCTCTTCTGGCTTCCCAGTCAACTTTGATTTTCAAAAATTTAACTTTAATGTCAATCATTATGTTCTGTCTTAATTCTTATTCTTTTCTTGTTCTCTCTCATTAATCATGTCTTTTTTTTTTAAAATCATATTCTCTAACACTCAATAATCCCTTAGTGACTGTATTGATTTACTTGCTGTGAAATGATGGAAAAAAACCCTCAAAAAACAGACACTTGATGAAAGTTGACTGTATTATGACCAAAATGTTTTGATTATAACAGTCATGAATAGAAAAATAGATTTTATTATTATTCCTGCACCTTATCTCAGAAATTTAAATGTTAAGTAATGTAATAGTTATAATAATAAAACACTTATGATGCTATAACCTCCTAGTTACATATATACTACTACAGTGTGCATTAGCAATATATACTTCTCTTGAGGGATGGAATTTACTACAATAAAATAGAAGTCAAAAAGAAAATCTTACATTTTCCAAGCCTTATTCTTGTAAGTGTTCTGAAAGCAAAGGAAATGCTTGTCACAGATTAATTCCACAACGCAGAGAACAAATCACTGTAAGTTCAGACTTGAATATCGGGGGCAGAAAGAAATGCCGAAAACTCGATTTGCAGGTACTATCTCACAAATCCCAATGCACGTAACCAGTCAGAAAAATAACTCACTCTCTGATGAACATGGTAGCCAAAATACATAAATTTTTCCACTTGATTCAAGAACACCAACTGCTTTTATCAGCCGAGCATTTTTTTTCATTCGTCGACAACTGGGAGAGGACGCCAAATTTTTGCATATCAAAATACTTTTATAGATTCCTGCAATGGACTTGTTTTTAATCTAAATATTCCGTCTTTAGCATGTCATGTGGAATACGTGTTTGTTTTTTTTTTTTTTTTTTTTGTTTTGGTAAGTAATTTTCTTTTTTGTCGTAGGATACACGCGACATGCTGTCGCTAGGTTTGACAAGGTAAGTTGCCGTTTTCTTTGCTATAATACTATAGCTGAAACAAAAGTGGTTACAGAATGTTCAGTTTGGTTCCTATAAATGTCGAAATACGTTAAAATATTCAGTTGTATGGATATTAGTTTGTAACCTTGGGTTACACGCTTTTGTGGTCATCAGATAAACTCTCTCTATCTATCTCATATATATATATATATATATATATATATATATATATAAAAAAGTATGTATGCATGCATGCATGCATGCATGCATGCTAGCTTAAAAGTCATCCTACCTATTGGTTGTCATTTAAGCTAGGTCCTGCATCACAATAGATAGGGAGGAGTCGATGTGATAGGCAACAATAAACTATGGAAGAACTCTTACCTTTTAAAAAGTTCAAGAGTAATTCTTCTGCTGCCACTTAATTAAAAGACAATTTGATGTATGTAGGTCCTTACTTACAATTATTTATATTTTATGGGTGACTTTCGCTGGATTTCATAATTAATTAAACACTGACAATTTTATTTTGAAACACTGCAATTTGAGAACAGTAATTTTTTCATTTAAACATGAGCTATTGAAAGTTAGTTGTCCCTTTTAATTATTTTTATCAGTAGAAGGCAAATTTTATATTAGGTATTGATGGGTTAACATTCAGTATTGGTAAATTTCTTATATTGCCTAAAATAAAATAGTCAACTCTTACAAGATATAAAATTAATTTTCAAAAATTTTTTTTCATTAAAATTTGTGTTCTGTATCTGAATCAAGAGTGGACAGGATTAGTCACTAATTTGCACTTTTGATGCTTCAATGCATTTAACATATACTGCATAATGGAAATGAGAAGAGATTGTTTTTCACCAGTCTTCTTAGTGGGGAGGCAGTGTCTACTTGACTGCATTGTAAATCAACATTCAAAATCCTGACTTTTCTTATCACTGTCACAAGTAGGAAATATACAACCATACATCTGCTAATCAGTATCTAAATCATTGAGACACTTCTTTTTTTCTTTAGATAGTTATTAGTTCATAGAATTACTACTTTATGCCTACTACTTCCATTGTTGACATCTTACTCTTACTACCTTACTTATCACACAGTTGAAAGTAGATGTAGAACTACTGGGAATTAAATATGAATTAGTGTCTCAAGTGTGGGTATCCAAGATACTTTGAAATTAATATGGTTACTCATTAAAGTAAAACAGATATACAACTGAAGTCAGCCATTATCAACAATCACATTGTGACTAAATGACTGTTGAGAATATCTGGTTTTCTATCCATATAAATAAATGCACACCATGTATCTATACATGTATATATTTTGTGTGTAATACTTGTCACTGTGTACAGATACTACACTTAGATTCTGGACAGTGAACAAATACACTGATCTTTGATTCAAATAACAATCCAAATGTAAAATCCATTTTTTATTTTTATTTTTTTTTGTCACAGTATTATGCTAGTAAAGATAGTTCTTTTCCTTTTCACTCTTGTTTTCTTTTTCTTAATATTTAATGTTTTGGTTACAATGATTTCAATGGATTTCTGAACAACTTTTTTTAACTTTCTGGTTTTATTTGATGTTTGATGCAGTTGCTATGAAATTTTGTTAATTTTTTTTGTTTTTGTCTGTTTCAGGTGGATAAATTACTTGACCAATTGCAGCAGTATATTTCGTCTTATGATTTGGTCAGTTTACGAGATTACTGGGCTCGGCTCAATACCCGCCTCTTCTCTCGGCTTGACCAGCGCTACATGGCTGGTGTCCGGAAGATGGAGGTGGGCTTGCTCAAGTTCTACCTCGTTTTTGCCGCACAGAATAACAAGCATGATAAAGTCATGGAGTTTTTTGAAAAGATGACACCAGAGTTGCAGAGTCAATCTGAGTTTCGAGAATGGTTTAGTAAGTTGAATTTAATTATTCTAACAAATAATAATTCAATTTTAAATGTGAACATTTTTGCTTGATAGCTGAAGCTGCATGTCTGAAAAACTTTTATACAGTCCATCTTATGCATGAAACCACAACTAGTATTGCCTTTATGTCAAATGTTTTTCCTATAAATATATATCTATGATAAACTTTAATTTATTGTTGTAACCCAGAGAATAGAATAATCAAATGAAGATTGGTAATGAACGATAATACTTAGGACAAGAACAACACATAAGATTCGCTAGCACTGTGTAGAAGTAGTAGTTAACTGCTAGAAGTGATTCAAGTGAATTTCACAATGAATCTCCAACTGCAGACCAACATACAGTATTTACTACTGTATTTATGTGAATGTGGACATACCCATTATCATCTGTAGGTATGCTACAACATTTATAAAATAGATACAATTAGTAAGTAAACAATCACTACCATGTATAAGACAACCTTTAAATCTTAAAAATTACCACCCCACAAAAAATATGAAATTGTCTAATACAATAGTTACAAAAAAGCTGCCATTAAATACTGTGATGTATTGGCACTAGTATGTAGGTTAGTATGTTTGTATCATGGATTGCTATAGGTGAACAACTGTCTTGTTATGGTAACTATTGATGTGAATATTTCTAGTTGAAATAATTCTGTACTATAGTTATAAATATAATAAAACTACTTTTGTCATTATTTCACATTAAAATGCAATATTCAAGAGATTATTATGCAACAATTTTGAAAAGTTCCGCTGAGTAACACACACAAGTAACAAGTAATATAAACAAATCTTTCGTTTTTGATTTGTAGAGCTATAGGTGTGTTCACACCAATCATTATTTCACATAGTTGTGTTAAATAACAGCATTTAGGATAACATACAATTTATATGTCTAATTAAAATTCATTATCATTGTGGTATTAAATAACATTTAGTATAACATAAAAACTTTATTTTTCAATAAAATAAATTATATGGTATTTTTTTAGTGGTGTTAAATAACAAAACATTTAAGATGCCATAAAATCTTTTTCTTATTAACAAATATGCAGCTTTTGTTTTCATTCGTATGAGTCATAAGAATGAAATAATTATTTTCATAAAAATTCATGTGAATATTTTATATTATTTTATTCCTTTTAATTTAATAACGATAAAGGTGTTGTAGAGTAATTTTCACAGTGGAAGCTTGTATTTCACTAAGTCGGTCCTAAATTAGGTTCGACGTACAAAACGTTAGGAACTTGAAATAATAGTTAATGACGCAGCAATCTAGTTGCGGGGCTCATATTTTAATGTCCGACATTGACCGACTTGCACAACTCACTGAGCTCCACTGGCGACTGCTACTACTACTACTTATCTGTGGGAGAGTCTATTTACAATAGAAATAGGTACGTTCCAGTATAACAAAAGGTAAGCAAAACAACAACAAAAAGCTTTATTTTATACTCATAGTAGTAATCATTATGATACACCTAACTGCTACTGTCAGTGTAGGCTAGCTTATGATTTTGCTTGTCTTATATTCTGGTTATCAAATAAAATCATGAAAATTTACCTATATTTTGGGTTTTGTCTTATCTATTATTTGCCTTATACATAGAAATATATGGTGATGAGTTAGTAGTGATGGTCAAATGCCAGAAGAAATAACAGAACTGTGAAACAAACAGAATTAATAAAGTTTGCAATAAAAAGAAAAAGGGGCAAAAATGAAATAATATCAAGCAAGCAAACAATATATGCAAAAGCAAATTCATAGGAAAGAAGGCAAAATGTTTACAAACTATGACTTGGCATTTGTACACAAAAGCAAATGAACACAGTGGTCTGTCTTCAGGATAAGGAAAATCTAGACAGAGGTTATTTAACTTAGTCTCCCACAAGGCAAGATGTGGCACAAGGCCGTTTTTTACGTGGAGTGATTACAAGCCTGTAGGCTTGGTCAAAAATTCCCCGTAGACCCTGCATGCACAGCATCGGGCTTGTTTACCTCCCCAAATATGACTTTGCCCTTCAGCATAGCTTTGTCTGTGTTTCTCTCTGCCTGAAGTCAGATAGTTCGATAAGTCAGCTGTGAAGTCGGCAGATCTGGACTGAGTCAATTCAAGTTTTAATGTCACCTATTTTATTGGCTAAAAAAATATATCCCAGCATGCATTTGTGGACTTCTGCCTATAAAATGGAAGTGGGGAAAAGTTTTGCAGTTATTCCCCCCCTCCCCCAATTTAATGCGTGCACTTGTATTTACCACCCTTTTATTTCCACTTTCTAAATTTAAACAAAAATATATATGCAAACATTTACATATAATTTACATACATAACAAAATTTATTATTTTTTTTTATTTTATTTTTTTTTATTTTATTTTTTTTATTTTATTTTTTTTTATATTTTAGATATCTTTTTATATCATATTTTTTATATACAAAAAGTTGGGAAATAAATAATTGAGGGAATAATAAAAAAACAAAAAAAAACGTGGCAATTAAAATGCAAAAAAAAATACTGTTCAGTATAGCAATCCATTTACAGCAGTAAAGGATTTATTTAATTTTATCCTGCTGATCGGTGTAGTAAACAAATTCACATTTTCTTCTGTTGTTCAACTTCATTGTACCATTTTGAATTTCAGTCCTTATGAAATCCTTTGTGTCTGTGTTTTGATTGGTAGACCGGGTTCTTAACAAGAGCTATAGTATCTTGATTATCGCAATAGATTGTGACTTGCTCTTTTTTAGTTGTATTAATCATGGTGACTAATAATTGAACAAGGAATTTTGCTTCTTGTATTGCAGCCGCCAACGTCATGTACTCAGCTTTGCATGTTGACAATCCTAATGTAGGTTGCTTTCTCGTTTTCCATAAAATCATTGTTTGCTGTTTGATGATAACTGGAAACTATCCTGTAATACTGCAGCAGTCTTTTGAATTTCCCTAATCAGCATCACAAAAACCTCTTAAAGATAGGGGTTTATTTGATTTATTAAACACTAAACAATGTGTTTTTGTACCTTTCAAATAGTGTAAGACTGTTTTCAAATAATCCATGGTTGGATTCACAGAATATTGTGACAATTTTGTTTCCATGTAACTTATATCTGGATGAGTAGCAGTCATAATGTATATCAGGCTGCTATCTCTTGTTAATATTTTCCATCTGCTGGTTCAGCATTGCTCTCATCCATTAAATTGATATCTATTTCACAAGGTGTTGAACAAGGTTTGCAATCTTGCATTCCAGATTTGGTTAGAATTTTTCTCTATATTTTGTTTGGTTCATCTCAATGGAGTTATTTTTAAATGTAAATTGTATACCCAGAAAAAGAAAGAAAACTGTCCAAGATCAGGTCATTTGAAATTCTTCATTTAAATGTGTTTTTACATTAATTAACACAGAATGACAACTTGCAGCAATGAGTATATCATCAAACCATGAAATCATAATCAGAATTGTACTTGAAGTGTTCTCTGTGTAAATACAAGAGTCTGTCAAGGATCAAAAGAAAACATGACCAATTAAATATGTGTGTAACTGATTCCAATTTTATCTGCTTTGTTTATGTCCATATAAGGATTTTTTTTAATTGCCATACAAGTTTGTTATTGTTTTTGTTGGTAATGGAGTAACCCTCGGGTTGTTCAACATATACTTCAGTCAATTAGTGCATTTAAATATGCTGTTTTTACACTCATTTGGTGAACAAATAAATTATGTTAAATAGCTAATTGCATTAAAGTTCTTACCAAATGATAATCAAGCTGTGGGAGAGAAAGTGTTATGATAATCTATTCCTGGTTTTTGTGAGTAGCCTTTTGCAATGAATCTCACTTTGAACTGATCATTACTAGTGTTATTACTTTTAATTGTGTAGACCCATCGCATACCAACAACAGTTTTACGAGGTGGAATCTCTGTTAATTCATATGTATTATTCACTTTTAGGGCTGCTATATCTTTTTTCTGTGGCATCTTGCCATTTTATAGAGTCTGTTGAAGTAATACCTTCATTATAATTAGTGGGTATTTTCTTTATCGAGCAACATAATCTATTGTCAAATTTACTTTGTGATCTAAATTCTTAACAACATAATCTTTTAAATCTTCAGGCATTTTTCATAACCAGCTTGGATATAATCTGTCTTGTATTTCTGCACTAGGATTATCTCCTGTATTATCACTTGGATTTGTTGATTGTGCAGTTTTGCTTTCTTGTCTCCCCCTCTCCCCAAGGATTTTTTGGCATATAGTTGGGAAGTATTGCATTTTTTTTTCTTCAACCAGAAGTAAAGAGTCATCAGATGTAGGATTTTCAAAATTTTCAGTAAATTTTACCCACCTGACTCTTTTGATGTTCTTAATTTCAGGTATATTTGTTAAATGGGCAAGATTTATAGTAGTCTATGAAAATTGCTTTTTCACCTTTTTAATATCCAATTTCCTCCTATCTTGTATGTACACATAACAAATTGTGCCAAATGTATGCATATTGTTGAAGATAGGTTTGTGACTTGTGAACATTTCGAAGGCAGTTTTCTCAGTTCTTTGACTATAACACTGATTTATGATATATGTCGCAGTCATAATAGCATATGACCATAAAAACATTGGTAGCTTTGATTCTATTAATAGACATCTACCATTTCAAATAAAGATCGCCAACACCACTCTGCATTCCCTTTTTGATGTGCAGAGCGTGGGTCTGATTTCTCATGCTTAATTAGATTATTTATTAAAAGAGTTCCAAGGCTTTCAGAAGTGAATTCTGTACTGTTATCACTTTTTAGGCATTTTATAGAGCCGTATGGAGCAATGTCAGCCAAATATTTCTTTGTGGCAAGAAATGTATCGCTTTTTTGTTTCAGAAAATAAACCATAATTAGACCAGCAACCATGAAACAAAGTGTAGATTTGAAGCTATTCAAAAATTTTGGTTCAATCGGGTTGGCTAGATCACAATGAACAAT